ATTCAGATGAGAATCACTGTGACAGAACGACGACACAATCAGCAGAAGATGTTTTGACGCACGCTGTGCGCGCAAAGTCAAACTAAGTTACACGCTGTGTTTCCAACCTCAGACTAGAGACCAAAAAAGGCCAAGAGTCAATTCATCTGTGCGTGGCAAAAATATGAGGCCGAAACAGCCCCAGCAACAATGCAAAATGGCCGGAGCAACCAATTTAAAATCATCATTGCTGCCAAAAAATGTGGCTGAAGATCTTGCACCATTGCGTTTGCGATTGGCGCACATTCCAGCGGTCCAATTTAAATATGGGACCAATTCCGCTCTGTTCTCCGCCTTATTATGTGTGCCAGAAAGCGCTGTACGTGCGCAAGTAAATTTCCAATTCCACATGACTGCACCAGCAATACGCCATAGGGACCATCATAGCACGTCCTCCATCGACGTCGCACCAGGCCTGATTTGAAAACGACATCTAAGAATGACAACTGACCAAGGGCCCACAAAACAAAATTACAAAATTTACGCATGTGCAAAGCGGCAAGTGTCATTGAAGACAGGAAGCAGCTCCATCGTCATGTCATGCTGGGTAACACCGTTAGCCGGGCAGCAAGCAAAGCGTGAGAGGTGCATGAAGTTTCTCGCGCCGCCGTCTCTTAGGTTCAGCCTGGACATGTTCCACGTGCCCTGGCTTTCTAAGTATTCGCGGCGTGACCTCAGGACAGAACGACGAACAAGATAACCAAAACCAAACCCCAAGCAAAAACACAAAAGCACCAACAAACAATTGACAATTGTCAAGTGACCGAGCTCGTCGGTAGAAACTCAACGACTGGTCATTCCAGAAGACTAACCATTCGCATTTCCTGCTTCTGCCTGCTGTTGTCAAGTCTTGGTACTTGCACACTACACAGTGTTGCCGGAGAACTCTCAAGGGTTCCCTGGGACCAAATGCAAGCGAAGTCGCCATGGCCCAGGCCTTGTCAGCGATGTAGCTTAGCAGAAGCAGCCTCGCACCCTTTTTGAGCCAAAACCTAGCAAGGAAGAAGAAATCAGCGGTGTAATGGGAAGATTACTTAGCCGACAGTTCCTCATGACAAGGAAATCTCACGTTGCGCGTGCGCACGAGTTTTTCTCCATGTGGAAACGAGGTTTCCAAATTTAGATTGTCTTCTTTCAGACAGCTGCTTGAATTAATTGACCCTTTCAAGCATTTTTTCATGGCCGAAGCAGCCTTGGAACTGCCGAAGCAGCAGTTTGCCCAAGCTCGAAAGACTCTGACTTACAGCTGGTCCGGCAGGTTTCGTGAACCACACCAATGAGACATCGCTTCACTTCGTCAATTTCACTTCCACCAACGATGGTGAAAAACTGCTTGAGTCCTAGTAGTGTCAAAGCGATCTCAGCGCTGATTCCAGCGCAGTCAGAAAAAACTCGGAGCTTGGAACCTTTTGGCCTTGGTTGGAATGGCCGAGCTTTGTGCTCCTTCACGTAAGCCTTGAGCTTCCCCACGAGCTTCTCCAGCTTACTCTGTGCGACTTCCGTTGTCCGCGGCATGCTCTAAGTGGGTCAGGCCCTACGACGCTTGCACTGCAACACATGTGAGACTTCTAGCACTGCAACACAGAATTGTTGAATCTCAGTGTGAGTAATGTCAGGTGTCAAGACATATCGTAAATTACTACATTCCTCTGTGAGCATAGACATTGCGCAGGCGGCTAAGTTGCTTGCCGGGCTACCCACCCCTGCCTCGCAAGAATATGTGTGAAATTCTTCGCGAGGTGACCCTAGGGCATTAACAGGGCTTGCTCGCAGAGCCAGACCGGCCCGGCTTCGCGAGGGAACCCTGTTAAAAATCCACGCAACCCTGTGCGAGCCATTTCCCAGGGTAGCACCGATTTTTAACTCCCCTCCCTCGCAGAGCCAGACCGGTCCGGCTTCGCGAGGTGACCCTAGGGATTTAACAGGGTCACCTCGCAAAGCCAGACCGGTCCGGGTTCGCGAGGCTCCTCGCAGAGCCAGACCGGCCCGGCTTCGCGAGGTGACCCTGGGGCCACCTTGCCGCGAAGTGTGAGGAGGCCATGTCGGCCTGCCTTAGCTTTGACAATTTTGTTAAGTTAGGAGACCATGTCGGCCTGCCTTACCTTTAGAAAGCAATTTGTCTCAAGCTGTCCTACTAGGAGGAGACCGCTTGGCCTGCCTTGATGACGGCTTATGTCTTAAAGTCTATACTTTGAAAAGACAATGCTCTGAGCTTTCGCTTTACTTTTATGACGACTAAGCCTCCTTCGATCATTGACCATTGGCCATTGTGTCAGGAGACCGCCCCGATATATCCAACCCAGTGTCATTGACTACGCCTCCTTAAATATCATCGACCCATGAGCAATGTGTGAGGAGACCGTGTCCACACGTGACATATTAATTTGCGTTCAACTGACTGAGCCTCCGGGGGGGCCCTTATTAAATTAGGAGACCACGTGTTATCAGCATAATCAGCTGCCACAATAATAAAGAAAAACCAGGACCACAGAACTCTGAGCTGCCGCGCATTTTTTTCACACCGCCTGCTGCTGACACGCGGAAGACATCCAGGTCGTCATCTGTCAATTAAGTGGACACCCAGGCCCAATGGCCTCTGCTGGCGTGGGACCAGTCTCCGGAACCTCCGCCGTGCCAGTCGTGCCACTCGCGCCAGTCATGCCGCCATTTTTTGACGGCAGGGATGTAGGGGTCGTCCTCCTCTTCGTCGTCTTCGTCGTCTTCCCACTCCTGGTATTTTTTGTTGTACCAGATTAGTCGTGCTTTGCCTCTGTTCGCCTTCTTGCGCTTGGCAGGTTTCGAAGAAGGTTTCCAGTAGATGTCCTGACAGGCGAATCGCCATTGACTTTTCATGGAAAAGTTGTTTAAAAAAACTTACAGCCAAAAATTTAACGACGAGGCTCGCATTGCTTGTAGTAGCAAACGCCACGTCCAGCATAAGTTTGCCTGCCGCAAACTTTGCAAACCCGAAGGTCGACGGCTTGATCCACTGTCAGTGGCGCCGTAGGGGCTGGCCTCGACGACGATGCTGGCTCAACCGCGTCGACATCAACCACCACTCCTGGTCCTGGCACCGTCGTCGTCGTAGGAAGTGGCGCTGGAGTGTCAGCCGCCGTGTGAGTCGGAGTGTCTCCCCGTCTCCAGGGCAGCGGGGCTGCGTCAGGCCCGGGGCCAGTCACAGGCACTGTGCCAGGAGGTGGCATCGATGTGCCAGGGGCATTTGGAGGAGCGGCTTTGGCAGTCGTCGCTGCCACGCCGCCAGTGGCCAATGCCGGCGGCGGTGGCTGTGCCAGGAAGGACCAAAGGCCCGCCAACGCGTTTAAGGTGGCTGGGTCGGCACCAGGACCTCCGCCAGGAGGAGGGCCGGTCCTCCACTGCCAGGACGAGCCGAAGGTCCTCCAGGAGGAGCCGCAGGTCCTCCTTCGGGCGGCATTGCCACCACTAAGGCCATGAACACCACACAGCGGCGAAGCAGCGGCATGGCGGGACTTGAACGTCGTTTCGGTTTCGAGCGTGAAGTTTTAAACGGCTGCAGTTGACATGACACGGATTTCAACACATGACATGAGGCAAAAATTTGTCTGACATGTGCCTGAGTCGTCTGACTGTCTGTCATGTCATATGCCATGTCAGTGGTGGACATGTCGCTGCCCCTCCTTGACGATGGTCAGGAGATGCTTAAAATTGGCAGACGCACGCCTCCCTTCAGGCCAGGAGACGCGCGCCGTTACGGCCTCCTTCCTGGGGAGTCTCACATTTAAAATATGTCTTTAAATTTAACGTCTCCTTAGGAGACGCCCGTCTCGATCAAATCGCTGCTTCCAAGCCTGACGGGAGACAGGCGCCTCCTTCAGAGTCTTAGGAGACAGGGAGCCTCCTTGAAAGTCGTAGGTACCTTAGGAGGCGGGAGCCTCCTTCAAAGTCGGAGGAGACTTCGGAGCCTCCTTATATCAAAATGCGCAGACTGTGGACGATAGCCAAAAAGAACCCATAGGAAACTGAGTCCATTGATCATGTCATAATAAGCCTAGGGGCAACAGGGGCAACAAACAAGCATCAGCAAGTTTGATGGTTTCAGCACAAAACGTTTTCTCAAGCGAGCAAATCGTTTCGATGACTGCCGCTTCAGACCAGCGCAATCCTTGCCCTCAGAGTTGCTGGTTGTCTGGCGATCATCTTACGTAATCCTTGCCCTCAGGCACGGTCACGGCTGGCGTCCACGGTTTCACGGCTCAGCCGTGGAACTGTGCGGCCGCGGCTTCACGGCTCAGCCGTGGAACCGTGCGGCCCCGGCTGGGCTCCACGGTTTCACGGCTCAGCCTTTGAACCGTGCGGCCACGGCTGGGCTCCACGGTTCCACGGCTCAGCCGTGGAACCGTGGAACCGTGGAACCGTGGGGGGGGGGAGCCGTACGGCCACGGTTTGCCGGTTCACGGCCCGGTTCGCCGGTTGCCGCCATACTCCAACCTTAAGGGAGAATACCGCACTAGCACTCCCATGTTAATCATGTTACTTGCATGTTATTGTAATATGTTGCATTAGTGGATTTGGATGGACCTGGGGCCACCCCTTTGGGGGTCCAATTTGTCCCACGAGATGCTGAGAGATTTTGGGACCTGCCCCATGATGATCCACAGGTATAAACAACATTCCCCCAACATCATAGACCATCACTTCGTGTCGTGAGTTTTTGAGTCTTGGGCTCTCAGCCTTGATAATTTTGATATGTTTTCTTTGTGTGCTCAAGGATCATGAATGATCCAAGCACATCGTGAAACCTTCCTAGCAGTGTCCAAAACCACAGTTGATTGAACACCTGTGCGCGCGCGCATTTTGCTTGCTTTGATAGGGATTCTCATCGCTGCTTCTTCAACATCGTACTGGACAAGCACTTGACACAACTTTCTTGCCAACCCCGCGCAACCACAATCAACTCGTACTTTGCGCATTGGCTCGCTGGCAGGAAGGTGTTGCCCCCTTTAGCTGACTCCAAGTTGAGAATCTTGCTACCTTCCTGCACTTCAGCCTTTTGCTGGGCTTATTGTTGAGCTCGAGATTTTGTTTCAATGGAGGTCAAGACCCTCGAGGGAGATTGATTCTTACATAGTTTCACATAGCTCCACGATTTTCAGGATTTTGCTTTGAGAAGAACGGAGTTCTTTCGCCAGTTCGTTGGCCATGGATGTCTGAATAGGCCAATTGACATCAATTAACCGAGGATGAAGGAATTTCGAAAGTTGGACAAAGATGGAAGTGGTGAGGCGACGTTGCTTTAGATACACATGTATGTGGTTGACGGGGCTAAAATTTCCTGCCATGGGCTTGATATGGCGTGGAACCTGGATTCATGTATCAGTTGGTGACACAGTGAGCTTTTTGATGCATTTTTGGGCAATTGAAGAAGGTCGCTTGGTGCGGCGGTTTCCATAGCCGATTGATGCCGATTGCAGGTGTCCAAGGATGAATTGGCGGTGGCTCTGCGGGATGTCTTCCCTGGGGTGAACATCGATGAACTCATGATGGTGTCTTGCTTGAAAGATATGAATCGTAAAGATAGGGGGATCTTCGGGTCGTTTCTGTCCAACCAGAGGGGCTTTGCTGAGCTTTGGCACGATTTGTTGTGAGCTGAAAATTGGTTAGGCATCCCAGCAATTTATTGTGGGATGTTTGATTGCTGCCAATCCCATCACTGAACCGCGGTTTCTATCAGGGAGGTGATGGGGTTCCCTACTATCGGTCCTGGGGTCGGGTGCACCAGTGGGCGATCCCTTTTTGAGGTCTTTGATACGGCATCTTGGCGGCTGAACATGTCCGGAGTTCTTTTTTTGGGCTTTTGGAGGGATGTCGATGACAGTTTGTCCTGGTAGGGATCCCAAAGTGAGAAAGAATGTGTATTTTTCCATGAAAAAGAATAAAAAGAGAGACATAGGAAAGAATGCCGTTTTTTAAGCGGCAGTTATCCCTTCAAAGAAGCGTGGTGGGAAATGTCAAAACCACTTAAAATCAATATTTAGCCAATAGATGCCAATAGTCTTGTCAAAATTGAGAATCTCACAGGCTTTGAGGCCCCCAAGTAAAACGATGTAAAACGTCCAATCCCTCCATCGCCAAAGGACAGCAACGGCAAAGTGGGCTACTCCGAATTTGCGCCACTGTCCAAGGCTGGGATGGTGAATCCTGGATAGAAAGAGACATTGCCACTAAACAACATGCTATATATATATATATATGTTTTGGAAATAGGATGAAATATCAGAGGGGAAATCATGTTGTGCACCCAGTCACATCCAGCCTGCCAGTAGGTACGGATGTGCAGTACATGGCACGTTTTGGACTCATTTGCCATGCTATTTATACTTATTTGTGGGAAATCCGCAGATATCAAATTTGCTCCACTGTTTCAGCTGATGCCTTGAAACTGTTGCAGGTTATTTCTACCTTTGAGCAATTCGACACTGACTCCAACGGCCTAATTTCCCGTGAGGAGTTAAAGGCAGTTTTGCAAAGGCGCGGCCATATGACATAGAGGCTCATTATGAGCCTGACTGGCATTCTTGAATTGCTGCATGACTGGGTAACCACCTGAGTGCAGTGGTGGAAATGTCGATGCACCCAATGCACAAAGGGGTATGCATTTTTTGTTGGAGCAAAACCCTGGTTTTAGGGGACAGCCTCTACGAAGTGTGAGCATCATTAACCCTGTCTTGCCATTGAAGACCTAGCCTTTGGTTCAGAATAATCATCGAAGCCTCTGGTTGCGACAACAATACCAGGACATTTTGTAACCCTCCAACAATGGCCATCGTTTTGACAGCGATACTGTCCGGTGTTTTGTTTGGGGCCACTAGTTGCAGAATCGGATAGAAGGAACACAAGCACACAGCCCCTGGATTTGTTTGCAAAAGACATGCTTTCCTGTTGATGTTCGCCACACCAACGCAATGAACCAGGCTGGATCCGAATTTTAGCGACCAGCAGTTAGACGAGCTGATGACGAGCATTGACTTTGATGTCAGCGGCATCCCAGCAGCATGGGTGATGGTGTTGTATTGGCGGTGCCAGAGCCGAATCACCCTGGGGAAGTTTGATGTTGATGTTGATGATGATGATGATGATGATGATGATGATGATGATCATGATCATGATCATGATGATGATGATGTTGTTGATGATGATGATGATGTCGATGATGTTGATGATGATGTTGTTGATGGTGATGATGTTGTTGATGATGATGATGATGATGATGCTGATGCTGGTGATTATGACGGGGAAGAGGGCCAACAAGATTAGGATAGGTTACGCATTTGGATCGCAGGGTACATGCCACCTCTTGATATTTTTTGTTCTGCGAAATCTTGTGTGCTCCTAAGGGGTTGGGGGCAAATTGTTCCTCAAGCAATCCGAAAGTACCCGCACATAAAGAGATTGAATGGAGGAAGGATTTGAGATTAACTATTATCGTTTGTTATTGCTTGTCATTCCATGTCATTCCTGTATTTTGAGCTTTTGAGCGGGTTGTGCGCATTGTCCTTTCCGATCAAGAACCAAAGCAAAGCAAAGGCTTTGTGTTTGCTTCCCCTTGTTTTGAGGGTAATAGGCACCATCATTGTTTGATACGGCATTTTTTCCCATCTTTTCCCCTACAATTATGGTAACCATTTGGATAGATTTTGCTCGCAAAGTTGCGTCCATATTGTTGCCTTCTTTCATCCGGTGTTGTCCCAGTAGATGAGGTAGTTTGAACATCGTTGAATTCGTCATGTACGTAGCAGATTACAGCGATGCATCTTGGCGCAGTTTCGTTTCTGTAGTTCCAGTCCAGCAGACCTGCAGTCCCCAACCAATGGGACACAACTCAGATCAAAAAATCAGGAGAGGAGATGGTAGTTAGATAGAAACCATGGTTTCAGTTTGTCCATGGTCTTTCAAGTCTTTTTTCTCATTTGCCATCCCCACCAAACATCAAGAAGAAATCCCTATCAAAAGATTCGACCCATTGGTTCCACCCAGGAATTGGGCATCAAGTTGGAGCAAACGGTGACCTGGTAGCACTGGGGGGAGGAGTTACAGACGCCTATTGAAGGCCCAGAGAAATAGAAACGTAATCAGTAATAATGTTTCATAGGAAGTCATCAATGTAATGTTTAATGTAATGTAATGTATTTTTATGTCAAACATATCATGGGAAGATGGTTGAACGCAGGTTGAACTAGCACAGCTAGGGCAGGGTGACCTGACAGCGATGGAGAGAGAGATCCACTTCACCGAATGTTCTATAGGAAATCACTGTTAATTGTTTCCCCGACCTGTTGGTGGTCTTGGGGACCTGATGATGACCGACTCAGGCTGCGATCCTTGCCGGGGACACACGGAAAGCAAAGGCAGAAGTCATTGAACTGTCATGACCTAGAATCGACGGTGGCAAGTGGGCTGGTTGGCCAATAATTCACTGGTGATGTGTGCGTGTGTGTGACAGGATTAATTAGTATGTGCAATGTGAATGAAGCGTGATGTAGAATCATAGAGGGTTTCTCGGAGGTAGGGGATAGCAGCGACTGGGTTCCTGTTAACCATGATCCATCAGATCTTTCCGATTCCATGGTCTTTTCAGCCATGTAGTATGCACAATTATTGCCCTTTGGAAACACAGGCAATGGACGGTGGACATTTCTCCATGTCTAAGCTGATCTTCGAAAAACGGGGATGCAAAGTTAGATGGGTTTACACAATTTTACAAACCAACTCACCTGTATTTGTTGACGGGATCTGAGGGGCTGTTGTCCATTCTTAGTAGGCCACATGTCTGGCCTATGATGATTTGCTTGGAACCAGCCTTCACCACCCATGTCCTCGGAAAAAGGGTGGACGGGCGAGAGGTGGCGGGCTGTGGGTTAAAACACCCTCAAGGTAGACTGGCATGGTTAATGAACACCTCATAGAGCCGTTTAGTATAATTTGCATTTAATCATATGTATAATCTATCATGTATATAACTGTACGCAACTGTATTAGTATATTTAGTATATACTTTAAATATTTTTCCAATTATATATCTTCAATTAGTCAGCTTCGGACCAGTTTACCGGAACGATGTCAACATACGTTAAGATTTGATCCACAGCCATGTGCTCCCGCCATGGGTTGACAGCAGCAGTGGAGTCAGTTTTTTTCGCGCTGGGTCCCTGCCACCAGCTGGACAGCGCCGGAGCATCTCTGCGTAGATCTTAGCGCTGGCGGTACAATGTCCGTCCGTCCGTCTCACCAATTATTTTTCGCAGCAGATCGGACATGCAAAGCAAGTCAGAAAAAGAGAGTCGGTCCATACCGAAGAACCTGGAAGCTCCAGCGTGTTACAAAAACATCTCAAGCTTCGGTCTGAATTTTCAGCTGGACATTTTCAGCGGTTGGGGTCTGATTTCCCCAACAACCACTGTTCTGTCTTGAGGATACGGATAATTATTCAACAGGGATACTCAACCAGTCTTGGCTTGACCTAATGATGCGCTATACATCAAGTGTTGATGATTTCCATCAAAAGCAGGAGTGAATGCCTCAGCCCTTAGGCAGTGCACCGAAGGTACCAAGAAGGTTCAGCAGCAGGGATGTTTTCTTCACTATGTGGAGATGGGTCATGAGTCATAAAGCATTGTTGGTTGATGCTTCTGTGGCACTTTCATTCATATCCATTGTGCTACCTGTAGTAACCCAATGACGATGATCATCGGCTTGTATGGGGATGGATCGATACTGCTGATGGGATCAATCAGCAAATCGAGGCCATTCGCTGCCCCCTTACAAGGTGACGTTATTTATGAACCTTCTCAGAAAACCATGGTGCGGGTGATTGGAACATTTTACGATCTTTATATGATGTGCATGTAGAGCATTTGTATGTTCCACTGATTCTACCGTGCGGGTATTATATTTCATCCTTCCAATGATCATTTCCCCAACGGGCAATCTCCGTCGACCACTGGAATCCCAGCCCCCAGCCACAGGTGATTTGCTGGTGACACTATCAGAGGTATGGTGCCCAGATGTTGTTCGGAGACGGTCACCGGGAGTTCCAAGTCGTTGGGAATGGGATGTCTGACATGATCCATGAATGACAACTTGGGATCTGATTGGATGTTACGATGTTCAGACGACCCCTGCCAAAATGCAATGGCCGGGGATTGCTGGCACAACAAGGTGCAGGATTTTCCTCCAGAAGCGTGCTGCCGGTTGTGCAGTCACTTTTTCACTACACACTTATCTCATCATGCGGATCTCTGTGCCATATTACTTTCCAACATTTTCCCATCCTGTTTACACTTGTATAGGCTTCAGTTGATTGAAATCATTATGATATTTTTTTAGATTGCGAGGGCGGGGCCTGCTGGGCAAACCAAACTCCATGGTATCCTGATGATATATTTGCTCCCTTGATATTTTGGTGATCAGTCGGAAAAACATGCCAAAACATATCTGTTAACAATAGTTCCAACGGAGTCATTTTGTTAGCAGCTAGCAAAACCTATATATATAATTGGTCTCTAAGGGGATGTTCCCATCGAACACCGACATGGTTTGGGGATGACAGGATGGAATGGAAATTGAGATCTACGAACTTTTGATGCTCGATGCTCAGACTGCACGTGCAGCACGGCAGCCTTGGATTCAGGAATTTGATCCGTCAAAATCCAGTCAGAGAGTCGGTAAACTCGAGCAAATTCACATATGGCAACATTACAATATACTGTTACATGTGTATCTACGTATGTTCATATCATAGTATTTCCCATGTTTGCATATGCGTTCTCTTCAAGTCATTTTCCAATGGAGCCTTGGATTAGGGCTGGTGAGGGTTGCCCTCGCTGATCTCAGGCAGGTTTACCAGCCCCCGCCTGCAGACATCTTGGGAAACTTCAAGCTGCCCGTTTTCGCCACTTGGCCGTGGCATCTCCGGGAAGCGAAATTTGACACTTCCTATGTGAACTGTGTGGTTATACATCAATCAATTATAGGAATTATATGCATATAGAATGTACATGTTACACATGTGTATTATATGTATATATATATATACATGTATGTGTGTGTGTACATGTTCATGCACAGAGACACACACACACACGAAATATCCATTAAATCATATCCTTCAATTCAAAAACTCCACTTTCCTTTGCGATTCTGCTGTGCGCAATTAACATTGTTTGCATCGCTGGCGGGCTGTCACTTTCCAGATCTTTCCCGCACCCTGAGGCAGCTGCCATGGTGCTCGTCATGGGCCGCTGGCCTAGTCTCGTTGGGATGTGTTCCAGCCGCCGATGGATGGGATGTGATGGCACCCTCTGGTTACTTCACCCAGCGAACATCCTCATGTTTGGCAGTTAAGTGATAAATACATGCAGGATTTCCAGGTCAGGCTAGATTATCGGTGCTTATTTCCTTTTCATTCAGAATTCCTCAGGACCTTGTTAGAGTCTGGGGCTGGATGCTAACAGTTCTTCTCGCAGCAAGACGGTTGTTGTTGTTGTTGTTGTGGTGGTGGTGGTGGTATATGGAGGGCTAATTATTTTAGTTTTTTTTTTGATCAGGTTTAGGAATTATTTTTGGATTCCTGCTTCTCTGCTTTTCCTGCTTTTCCTGCTTTTCCTGCTTTTCCTGCTTTTCCTGCTTTTCCTGCTTCTCTGCTTTTCTGCTTTTTTGCTTTTCTGCTTCTCCTGCTTCTCGCCTTTTCTGCTTTTTTGCTTTTCTGCTTCTCCTGCTTCTCTGCTTTTCTGCTTTTTTGCTTTTCTGTTTTTCCTGTTTCTTTGCTTCTCTGCTTTTCCTGCTTTTCCTGCTTCTCTGCTTTTCTGCTTTTCCTGCTTCTTTGCCTTTCTGCTGTTTTGCTTTTGTGCGTTTCCTGTTTCTTTGCTTCTCTGCTTTTTTGCTTCTCTGCTTTTTTTTGCTTTGCCTGCTTTAAATACTTGATTTTCATGTAAGATGCATTTTGCACAGTATTTACATCCCTGAGTATCACATGACCAACCTTCTCTTGAAAACTAGCAACGTAACATGTGAGAAGAGGTGCTTGCATTCTGCTTTGGGGGGAGGCGCTGCGCCCTTGTTTTTGTTTCGACCTAATACCTACATAGGTACATGCATGAGTATTGAGCACATTTATATGCGCCCTTCAAGGCTCAAGAGGTATATAGAGTAACCCTGTAGACAAGCACTGACCGGCAACAGGCTGAGAGTAAAAGAGTGCTGTCATTGGGGAAGACGCCTTAGCTGATCTTGAAGTAGACGCTAGGGCCCCTCTTCAAGTGGTAGCGGAGCTGTGATCCCTCATTGAGGGTGAGCTCCAGGTAGAGCCCAAGAAATGGCAAGCCATGGCTATGATGATGATGACTTCGACATTGTCGATGCAAATGAATGGAACCAATATGACTCTTATGCAATGAGAAGAGCACCCCAGCATACACAGATTCATATGACGCAACAGATGACCACAAAGGTTGCTCCAGCCTATGATGGGCGAACCAGCTTCTTTGCTTTTGAGGATGCAATTGATGACTGGTGTGACATTACGGAGTTAGAACCAGAGAAACGTGGTCCAGCATTGCGCAACAGACTGGAAGGAGATGCTCAACAATACAAGAGGCTATTGGATAGAGAATTACTCAGGGATCCCTATGAAGGAGTGGCTTATTTCAAAAGATTTCTACGACCTCATTTCATCAAAGGTGCCCAGAACGTGTTCTTATACCGTTTCATGCAGTTCATGAAGTTCAACAGAGGAACCATGGATCTTCAGAAGTGGATGACTAGATTTCAACTCACTGGCAATAGACTTATTGAGTCTTGGATGGATTTACTTCCAGAAGTAACAGTGACTAGTCCTGAAGCAATTCTGTTTGTTCAACAACGACGTCAAGAACATGAACGAGATCAACAAGAGAGAGCTGAAGTAGCAGCAGCCTCAGGAACACCCCATGTAGCTGTTCCTTGGACAGATGAACTGGCACTAGCGGCATTCAGACAATTTCAGGAAAATCGTAGAGAAGCACAGCGACAAGCATTCCCACTGGGTGAAAATTTGCTAGCATTGATTTTTGTAAGTCTAGCTGACCTGAGTCAAGATCAGAGAAACACACTCACAAGTATCATGACACATCGTGGACGAACCCTCGATCGATACAGTATTCAAGAACTACGTGACCTGTTTTTGGAAATGTTTTGCGCTACCAAAACAGCAGTTGACAATCCATTGATGCAACCCTCTGGCATGGCACAGAGAAGATCTTTCCTCGTACTGGATGAAGGTGAATTAGAAGGAACCGACGGCTATTGGGCCGAAGATGAAGAAGACGGCGCAGAAGGATTCCTGGATGCCTTAGAAGATGTTTTCTGGGTTTATGATGACGCCAACTTCACATGGTATCAGAGAAGGTTCCAAGGCAAATACATCAGACGAGGCAAAGGTAAAGGAAAGAGAAAAGGAAAAGGAAAAGGCAGAGGAGGACGAAGGTTCTTCAAATCAAGAAAAGGAAAAGGCCGAGGAAAAGGAAGAAGAAAAGGCCGTGCTCACA